CACTCTTGTCTTTCTTTTTCTTTTTGTGTCCAATAAAGAGCCCATGTACAAAGACAAGTGTGGGGGTGATCTTGCACATCAACGCCATAACCAAAGCAAGATCACCCTAGAAGGGATGAGCCATGACAAACCACACAAGGAAAATTGATGCAGTCAGACCCAATAAGGGGTCAGACAAATCTCTAGTTCGGCTGAACCACCTCTACCATGAATCGTCCTCTGTTTTATACAGAGCGTAGGTTTGCACAATTTTTCCTTTGGACATCCATTCTATATTGAGTTCAATTTGATAACCAATTCTAAAATATCGAAGATAATTAAATTCAAGCTAGGGATGGTACAATTAGAGTTCATGGTCCACTTGAAAATAACATGCATGCCTATTATTCTTTGCTCATTACTTGTTGCTTGTGATGATATATCCAATAGGGACCCTATGCTATCTAGGTAATTGATGAATGAGATATAGTCTGATGGTAGAAATCCTGCTCTTCATGTTATACACTTGGGAATTTTATAAAAGAAAAAAATATAACGATGCTAAACTCCTCATTGATATTTTTATTCCCACTAGAGCCATAGGTTGATCATTCATGATTAGTTTGCTACATACGCTGCTTGTCTTTACATTGAGCGTTGTCAAGTTTTGTGACCCTAGTGAAATGCTTTTCATACTTTCATGGTCAAGATCACACACATTCCACATACACCCACCTATGCTTGACTTCTACACTAGAAGTTAGCATTCCTCATTTACCATTCATTCCATTCATCTCCCACAAAATAAATACTCCATATCATTTATGCCTCTTCTTCCAAAGATCTTTCAATAAAAAAAAAGAAAGAGAGGCATGGCTATGCAAAAAGAAAGAAAAAACAGTGTTCATACAAGTATGGAGCATGATGATGGAAAAATAAGAAAAAAAAGGAAAAAAAGGAGATAGCCATGCACTCTCCCAAAATTCAAAAGAGAATAAATGGAGGAGGTATACAAAAGGAGTTATTTTTATTTTCCTTTTTCCACCCACAAATTCACCATACACATACACATGCATATTCTTGACCAGAAAGTATGTCTTGTATTTCCATGGATCCATTATTTGACTTTGCAATATATATGATGCAAGTAATGCTCTACTCTTTTCCATACCCTGAGCTCCACATAAGCCTTATTAAATGGCAGGAAAAGAAAAGGCACAATCATATGCCTTTGTGAGGAATCATACACTTTGAGTGATCGAGAGAATCAATGGAGGAGCAAAGCAAAGTTATAATTTTGTGTTACTTGAAAACCCCCCAAGTTGTTCTTCATGAAAAGTTAGGGTGACTTGAGTCAAGATTGTTCCATTTCTCAATTGCCCAGGATCGCATGGTAGACACTACAAAGACCCACAAGTACATGTATGGCTTTGAATAATTTGTTTGCGTAATTATTAGTAAGGAAGTCATAACTCTATTGTAGAATACATAGCCTTCACTCGGGACGAGTAAAGGTTAAGTGTGGGGGTGTTGTTGACGGTCCTTAAATCATAATATCTGACCGTCAATACCTGCATATAATGAAATAAAACATGGTATCCAACTTAGTGGTAGGTAGTATTACTGATCATTTCCACTAGTGTTGGTGAAATATGTGTATGCAGGTAATTTGAGGAGAAAACACATCCGTCATGTGACAAAATGTACCTCCGCACATTCAGGACGCATTGACACGGATTAGAGGCCCAATTAGTCAATAAAAACAATTTAGAATTGGGCCAAAACATAGCCCAGGTTGTTGGAGACCCAATAAGCAACCTCCCGGCCGAAGGAGAGGTCGGGAGGAGAGTTTTTGGGTTCGGCCGAACCCACCAGTTCGGACGAACCAATCCTGGCGCTTCCCGCCATCTGCTTTCACCTGGACGGCTCGAATTTCTCCCCTAAGGCGGTTGTAGGGTGTTTTGGTCATTTCCCATACCCCTAACCGTCATTTGGAGCCTATATAAGGAGGTCACCTTCTCATTTCCAAGACACATAACTTTGAGCTGAATTACAAGAGGCTCTATTGTATCTTTTGTACATTAGAATAATGTAGAGAGTGAGGGGAAGCTCTGGAGGAGTGCCCGGAAGTTTGGTGCTCATCCGACTACTACCTCGACGAGTGTAGCTTCATAGGAGGAATTCTGGAGGAGTACCGGAGCTGTCGGTACACTCTGCTCCGGGTTTGGAGAACTTCTTCTATAAAGTAAGCATTCGTGTTCCTTTCTTACGTTATTTAATTACTTTGTTTAAGTAAAATATATTTCCATTTTTGCGGGTTCATTATTTAGTATTCATACTAAGTGCTCTAGTACTAGGACTCTAGATAAAGAAGGAAGTTCCTGTACGAGTGTTAGAGTAGTAATTAATAACTTAGACGTGGTGTCTAGGTTAGAGGTTACCTTTGTTTGTTATGTATCCCACGGATTTGTCAGAGGTAGATGGCAGGTGGTGACAGCGCTGAATCTCGTCCTAGTAATCCTCCACGTTCGGATACATCGTAGAGCTATAGCCGGAACTACGCTGACAGAACAGCAGGGGTCGGTGCCCGAAGCAATAGATAGGAAATTACCTTTACTTAGCTTAGATAATTAAAACTCATAGAAAGTCCTCTCTAGCCTAGCCTACATATCATTAGTTGTTGTCCTTGGATAGTCTTAGCCTTAGGTAGATTACACACGTTCCCTGAGTTCGATATCCTTTTGGGGTCACCCGAAGGTGAAGTGCTACAGCGGTATTCCGTGCGCTTGCGGATTTATCTGTGGTCATAAGAAATACCAACAGCGGGCTACAGATTTGTAGTCAGCTACAACATGGACTCCAAGACGTTATGTGTGTATGAAATGTGGGACCGGGTAGGTAGATTACACACGTTCCCTGAGTTCGATATCCTTTTGGGGTCACCCGAAGGTGAAGTGCTACAGCGATATTCTGTGCGCTTGCGGATTTATCTGTGGTCGTAAGAAATACCAACAGCGGGCTACAGATTTGTAGCCAGCTACAACACGGACTCCAAGACGTTATGTGTGTATGAAATGTGGGACCGGGTATTAATGGTGTAGTATATTTTTATAGTTAACTATTGTATGAATGGACTATTAGATTAGCTATAGATGATTTGGAGCTAGTAGTTGGCTATACTATTAAACTTGCTGTAAGGGCAGGCGGAGGAATCGAGGCGCGCGTGCGCACCGCTCTCTTGATTCATGTACGTATACAGATAGGCACGCAGTCAAACCAAAACCGACCTATTGATCGCCCGATCGAGAGGTTGTTACGTGGGCGGAGGTGGGCGTGGCATGTCACGGACTACGTTTGTTACGTGGCGTCGAGTAGGAGACCACCGTTTCCATCGTGACAGACAGGGCGGAGGCAGAATGTTTAGTTGACACCGTGATTAGGCGTGATGCGCGCGCGACGGCGCCGGCAGCTGCAGCCGCATCAGCGCGAAGCTGCATGCCTCTGTTAATGGCGTGAGGAGCAGCAGCCACCAATACAGATCCTTCTATCTGTGACAGCCTCTAACATGCCTGAAAATAGCAGGCTGTCACAAGGAAGTCATCTCAATCGGACCGAAAAAGTACCCGATTGAGATATGGTCGCACGGACATATTAGATGGGCATAAAACTTAAGCCCGTCATGGATGACACCTATCAGTGACGGGCCGTAGTTGAGGCCCGATTGAGATAACATTCCAAATCTCAAACGAGCTTGAAGTTGGGGCCCGTCACAGATGACCATCATCTGTGACGGGCACCAACTTTAGGCCCGATTAACATAACATTCCATATCTCAAACTTACACATATCTCAAACTTAAGTTGGGGCCCATCACAGATGACCATCATTCATGACATGCACCAACTTGAGGTCCGTCACAGATGACTCATAAGTGACGGGCTATATACTAATCCCCTGTTTCTCAAACTTACAAATATCTCAAACTTAAGTTGGGGCCCATCACAGATGACCATCATCCATGACATGCACCAACTTGAGGTCCGTCACAGATGACTCATAAGTGACGGGCTATATACTAATCCCCGGTTAACATGACTTAATCTCTATCGGGCATTAATTAAAGCCCGTCACCGATGAGTATTTTTTTCCATTTTTCATATGAAATGTTTATATTTGTAAGTTGAATTATAACAAAATAATTAACTTGCAGTATAATAATTTCTTTTACGAGTCAAAATAATTTTATGGGTAGTAAATGATATCAAATGGAAAAGTCATTAACAACAAAGTTGTATAACTCATCAAGATTTATAACTTTTATTTTGGTCATTTTTTTATATAACATTTTTTGAGCAGTTTGAATTTGATTTTAAATTTGAATTTGAAAATATGACAACTTCAAACAATATTTTCAAATACTAAATGATTTCAACTAAAAAAGTTATCAACAACAAAGTTGAATAACTCATCAAGATCTATAACTTTTATTTTGGTCATTTTTCTATATAATATTTTTTGAACCGTTTGAATTTAAATTTAAAAATATGATAACTTCAAACAACATTTTCAAATACTAAATGATTTTAACTGAAAAAGTTATCAACAACAAAGTTGAATAACTCATCAAGATCTAAAACTTTTATTTGGTCATTTCTTTATCTGATAAAATGTTAGTAACATTGTTCATATATTAGTTAGTGTGCATGTTCAAGGCACGTCGATATATATTGATTGAAATTCATATTCTTGTTAGTTCACATTAACAATGAAGAGAAACATATATTCAATTTGAACCGATCGAGATTCAAGTTCTATTATCGATCATGTCCAAAGACCGTGTCATGCATTAGGAGGGCACTCGGTGCAGCCCGCAACTAAGCACTAAGCCACCTGGGAGCGTCCAACCCTAGCATATCTGGTAGCCAGTGGGGGTGTGCCGGTGGCTAGAAGTCAGCGGGACAAATTTTTCTTTTTTAAAAAAAAAAACTTGTACTGATAGTTTTTATACCGAAGGCTGTGGATTTCTTTGAAAAATGATTAATCTAATTGGAAGGGAATATTTCATATAGTTTAAGAGTGTTACATGATAATTAATTTGGAAGTCGAAGTAAATATTCCAGCGGTATATGATTGGTGGTACGTGGCATCATGAATACAACAACATTCTTTTTATGGTCTTCCACTGACTACCCAGATTAACTCATCTCCATGTAAACTGAGAAGCGGGAATTCATCAGTAGCAGATAGATCTCCAAGTTGAAAATTTCCTTTCCTTCCACGCATTCAGATCGAGGAAATACAGACAAGTTTTGTTGCACTGTCCAAACTTACGTGCTGATGATCGGTGATATCCATACTGTTTCTGCCTACATGAATTTGGAAATCAAGCAAAGCAGGAAGCCTGATTTGTTATATTCTTCAGTTAGGTTTAAATGGATTGTCTGATTAGGTTGCAAGCATCTTTTGATGTCCAGTCATAGCACCTTACAACGAATAAAGCTGCCATGACAGTAACAAACTTGGTTATTTAGTTGAGCAACAACATACATGCAAGGTGCAGCAAGCCTACAATATCTAAATCTGTGAAGTTAACAGTGTAATTAAGATGTTGTATTCAAATATAAAACTAAAAAAATAATTATAATCCACTTTTGACCAAAACATTAAGTAAAATAATATGGAAACATTTAAAAGGGTCAGTTTCGCTGCACATTATTGACTAAACAGATAGCTGAAAATTTCCCTAACAGAGCTTACACATTTTGAGACTTTTAGTAAACTAAAGAAAAATGTGATATTTGATGGATGAATTCAGAAAGAGAGAAAACCAATCCGTAAAACAGAAGCTACTGGGAATGAATATTAACACGCTTAACTGATGGACCTACTGTCTAGAAGTAGTTGAGTAGTTTTGAGCAGAGTGAAATACCTGTCCTGTACTGCAGATGGTGATCAATTGCACTTCTGTTTTGTGCTTTGATCAAATCAGTTAATGCGATTACATTCTTTTACTACATTTGCATCACCTGACAACCGAATAATTCTCATAAAGGGAAAACAAATGAAATTTGAAGGTAGAAGAACTAAGGATAATAACCACCTCATCAATTTCAGTATAAGAAAAACTAAAACTATGCAATATGGTCATTGGTTGGGTAAAAAGGAAAGGTTCCATGTTACACGTTGTCGACGGCATTAGCTAGTGCTATCTGAAGCCCTGAACTGAACTAAAAAAGTCTTTGAACCTACGTTATCCTGCTTCAAAGTTAATAGGAACAAAAATCTTAAACAATAGAAAATTAGGTTGCACATATCAACAAAGATTAGTAAAATCTAAGCGAGTGATATATGAAGTCATGAACTAAAAATAGTCTCCAAACCTAGGCTATCCTACCATCTTCATTTCTGAGTTAATAGGTACATACATCTGAGTAAATAGAAAATTAGGTTGGAGAGGGTATTCAATTGAACCTAGCTTTTTAGCAGAAAATGAAAAGGAAAAGAAAAGGTATTTAATTGAATATGTACTTGCAGCTCTGAATTAAAAGATATTCAATTGAACCTGAATTTTAGCAGCAAAACGGAACCATCGCATCAAGTGCAAGTTGGGGATCTGTTCAGAAGCAAGACGCCACAGTTGGAACACTTTGAATTCAGATGAATTTTACTGAATGGTCTGGCACTACTGCTGAATCCAAAAGAAATTAATTTATTTATCTCGGTGAAAAAGAAATTGTATTAAGGAAGAATCAACATATCAAAAAGAAGATTGTATTTTATCTAATTAAAAAATGTCAGTTTCTCAAAGTCGCCTCAGCTTATTTTATTCAGTTATTCTCTATCTACAATCTATATCTTCTTCACTAAGTAGCTTTGCAAACATGTGGCAACCACAAATCAGAAGGACAAATAAATCTACCTTGATTTGTCTTGCAAAAATCTGAATTGCTATGTTGTTTTTTAGCACACAGAATTGGACTTGTAGTTCTAATCTCTCAAATAGAATCGTACAACAATACCCGGTGAAAAGCAGAATGCCCAAGCTTTTCAATAAATTGTAGAGTAAAAAGATCACCAGGATGGTGAAATTTTATACTTCATTCGCTATATTTTCAGATAAAAAGCTACATGTATGTATAAACCTAATACTGACTCATGGACATCCAGTTCATGAGTAGAGAAGATTAACTTTCCAGTTAAAGGAACAGAAGAAATTGTGCTAGTCACCTTTAGAAGCAAAAGGACAAACTTTGGGATTGAATCTAATGCCTTCACTTATTGGCATTTCTCCTGTTACAATTGAAGGCAACAAAATGAATCCTTGAAGCATCAAAAAAACGCTTACTCCATCTACAGACAAAACAGAGAGCATTAGATATTTATTTGATGTATTCCTGCATAGATGGCCAAATCATGTCCAGCCGGATGATTACTATATTGCAAAGCAAAATAATAACGTCGAACATCACCAACATGATGTTAAACCCAAGGAGTTAGGAACCAATACCAATCTGTCCTTGGAAATGTTCCCAATCATCACGGTGTGCTCGATCCCACATCCCAGCCTGAAACTGCACCAAAACACATAAACAGAAGAGATGAATGAGAGCAGAAACATACATCTGAACCATGCGACCAAACCAAAAGGAAAGATTTCCAATAGTCATACAAAAACAGTCGCACGGTGCAGTAGAGGAGCATGGCACAAAGCAATGTACTGTCAGTCATCTTCCTCGACGTTGCCCCGTGCTCCGGCGTCGTCTTCCTGTACCGGCGGGGTAGAGAAGGTGGACGATAGCGTGAAGACCCTCACACAGATCGAAGCCATTTGTTCAGCAGTGTTGAAGGAAAGACGGCAAAGCAGAAAAATCAGATCAGCATGAGAAGGGATAACCAATGGCTTGGGGCACGACGTCACCGGAGATCGACGGCGCGGCGCGGAAGCGGCGGGCATGTGGAGGGCAGGGCGGGGGGGTGGAGCTGGGAGGGCCGTGGAGATGGCGCAGGTGAGGGCGGTGTGGGGAGGAGGAGAAGCGATGGCACGGTCGGCCTCGGCGAGCGCCGCGCGGGCGAGTGGGCCGGGGGGCTTCTTGGTCCCCGCGCCAGTGGAAGCGGCGGCGGCGCGCGCACGGGCGAGGAGCTGGGCGCCCTGCGCGAAGTGACGGCGACGGCGGATGACCTCCCAGCGCTAGTAGATGAGAAGAACGGCGTCGGCGGTTGGATCGGGAACCGGAGTCCGCGGCGGTTCGACGAAGGCGGTAGGGGTGGGGGACTGGACGGCGTGGGGGTAGGAGGCGGCGGCGGCGATGTGGCCCGCTCGATGACGGCTCCGGCGGGAGGTAGCGGGCTAGGGGAATCGGGAGCGCAGCCCGGCGAGCGGAGTTGGGGCGGCGGGCTCGCACGAGAGGCGGCGGCGGGAGGCAGCGACCCGGCGACGCGTGAGGGGCGGGCGCAGCCGCGCGCGAGCGGAGCGGCGCCGGCGGCCGCGCAGGAGGATAGGTTTTCCTTTTTTTTTTTCTTTTTTTGCGGCGGTGGGTTCTTCTCTTTTTTTTTTTCGATTTTGCTATATATTTGTCGACAAATTTTCTCTCAAAAATTTGACAGATGTAATTACAGTACAATCGTAATGTAATTACACTGTAACTTTCATGTAACTACACTGTAACTATATGTAACTATAGTGTAACTTGTATGTAACTCTCAAAAATCTCTCTGTAATATGTTATTTGGGTAAAATGGAGGTTGTGGGAACAAATCCTTACACATATGTGTGTGCTGTGATTTTTTTTTCTTCCTCACCAAAACAAATCTTGTAATAGATTTAACGATTCAAAATTACGTGAAACTTATATACAAGTTACACTGTAGTTACATGTAAGTTACACTGTAATTACATTTAAGTTACATTGTAATTACACTACGATTGTATTATAATTACATTTGTCAAATTTTTAGGAGAAAATTTGTCGACAAATGTATAGGTGGTCCCTTTTTTTTCCGCTAATCGCTGTTTACTGACGCGGGAATCGCGTTGATCCAATTTTTGATATAAACCGTGGGATGAATAGATCTAAGGGTGTTAGCAGAGAAAGCTGTTTGATGAACTGGTGCTTTTTATATTCGTATAGATATGTATAGTTTATAAAATCAAATAAGAGATATATCAATTTTGTGAACAATGTTACTATCACTTTATCAGATGAATAAATGACCAAAATAAAAGTTATATATCTTGATGAGTTATTCAACTTTGTTGTTGATAACTTTTTCAGTTGAAATCATTTATTATTTGAAAATGTTGTTTGAAGTTGTCATATTTTCAAATTCAAATTTAAACGGTTCAAAAAATGTTATATAGAAAAATGACTAAAATAAAAGTTATAGATCTTGATGAGTTATTCAACTTTGTTGATGATGACTGAAAAACTTTGTTGATGATGAATTTTTCAGTTGAAGTCGTTCACTAACAAAAAAATTCTATTTGAATCTCTCAAATTTTGAATTTCAAATTTCAAATTGTTTAAATAGATTCAGATGGAGAAATGACCAAAATAAAAATTTTGCACCTCGATGAGCTCTACAACTTTGGTTTCAGTGACTTTTCCATTTGAAATCATTTATTAACCCTAATTTTTCTTCGAAGTTATCAAATTTTGAAAATTCAAACTTTGAATTGTTCAAATGAACTTATTTGTATAAAGGACGATACAATAGTTGTAGATCTCGATGAGTTATACAATTTTGTTGTTTATGATTTTTGATGGTTGTGTATGTAAATGAATGTATATGAATGGAGGATTTTGGGGTGTGACATATCCCGACCTAGGGCTTAATAAGATTAATAGAATATTCATACCAACAAGCTACAACTACTCTTTTGGAAGCCAATCTCCAAAGAACTTTGATATTAAGCGTGCTTGGTTTGGAGTAATTTCGGGATGAGTGACTGATCGGGAAGTGAACTTCCCGGGTGCGCACGAGTAAGGACAAGAAAAGATTGGCCTGAGAGAGGCGGGACGGCATGGCATGGCTAGCAAAGGCCTGAGGCTAGCCAAAAATATTTTTTTTTTGGGATTATACTCATCTGTGACAGGGATTAACTTAAGCATTGAGATGACTCATCTGTGACGGGCATTAACTTAGAGGTGCACACGAGTAAGGACAAGAAAAGATTGGCCTGAGAGAGGCGGGACGGAACGGCATGGCATGGCTAGCAAAGGCCTGAGGCTAGCCAAAAATAATTTTTTTTTTGGGATTATACTCATATGTGACAGGGATTAACTTAGGCATTGAGATGACTCATCTGTGACGGGCATTAACTTAGAGGTGCACACGAGTAAGGACAAGAAAAGATTGGCCTGAGAGAGGCGGGACGGCATGGCATGGCTAGCAAAGGCCTGAGGCTAGCCAAAAATAATTTTTTTTCGGATTATACTCATCTGTGATGGGCATTAACTTAGGCATTGAGATGACTCATCTGTGATTGGCATTAACATAGGCCCGATTGAGATGACTCATCTGTGATGGGCATTAAAAAAGATTGGCCTGAGAGAGACGGGACGGCATGGCATGGCTAGCAAAGGCCTGAGGCTAGCCAAAAATAATTTTTTTTTTGGGATTATACTCATCTGTGACGGGCATTAACTTAGGCATTGAGATGACTTATCTATGACGGGCATTAACTTAGGCCCGATTGAGATGACTCATCTGTGACGGGCTATAGTTAATGCCCATCACGGATAAGGGTCATCTGTGACGAGCTATAGTTTAGGCCCGATTGAGATAGATCATCCGTGACGGGCTATAGTTTGACATGTCATGTAGGTCAAAGCTATCGGTGACAGGCTTTAATTAGGGCCCGATTGAGATAGGTTCATCCGTGACGGCCGTTTGCCCGATTGAGATAACTTTTCACATCAGTGACTTTTAGCCTGTGACGGCTAGGTTGCTGCGTCACTAGAACGGATGGAGCCATGAGTGACTTCTAGATCTGTCATCCCCAACCACACTGAGAGCATCCACGGTGGCAGATGGAGCCGGCGTGGAGGAATCGTCAACCACGACGATCACCCGTTTCAATCAGTTGCCGCCTATTCCCTCCATTACCAGCACCGGCAGTTTCCACCGACACGGGCAGCATGGAGCGTCATTGGACCGCACGTCGCAGCTGTTGGATACACCGTCCCTAGGATGGAACCTCACTGCCACCACCGCCGTAACTGGATCTGCTCGCGCTGAGCTGTTGTTGACGGTCGTTATCGATCAGTTTCGACCGTCAATATTACCAAAACAGAGGAGAACTAGTGATGCTTGCAATGCATATATCTGTTAGAATAATAATATTCCATTAGTATTAGGTATACTAACCTTTCTGCAGAGTATGACAATAAAGTGGAGGAGAATCGACGTCAACTCAAATGATAAATCAATCGGACGATGTCGAGAACCAGACTTGTGTATGAATAGGCCAAGAACTAAGAATTGATACGACAAACTGGGTCAAAATTCACAAGTCTGCGGAGAAGAACAACAGAGGAGGTCACCAGCCAAACCATGGGCTGGTTGGGCCAGCCCCAGGTTCGGCACCTCCCTCATCGCCGCTGGATGCAGGGTTTCTTTTAGACGGTGTGGTTTAGCTCCCAATGACGGTTAGAGGGTATTTCCAACCATTCCAACCATCACAACCGTCATTGGGAGGCTATAGAAACCCCTCACCTTCTCACTTCACTCACACCCCAAGCAATAGCTCTCTCATTTCTCTCAAGTTTATTTTAGTAGTATCTAGCTGGTGGAATAGGAATGGAGTAGAAATCAGAAGTCCGGAAGCCTTCGGAAGAGATCGGGTATGGCTCTAGTAACTTTTCTCTTCTCTTTTGTAAGCTTTGTACTTTTATTAGAATACTCTTCTTTATACATTTATGGTATTGAAATACTTTCCGAGTATATGAGTACTTACTTTACTTTATATTCTTGTTATCTAGGAGATGCTTTGGTGCGGGTATAATGTTTGCTTATGCAATTACTCTATATCATGACGATGATATTAGAGTAGTATCTGTTAGTTTAGGCGTGGTGTCTAGATTACGGGATATCATTTTTTGGGGTTATATATTGTGGATGAGATGTGGGCCGTTGATGGTGACAGCTCAGTACGGGTATTCCTCCGCGCCGATATATAATCCTAAGTTAATTTCCTGGGGAGGGTATTCCTCCGTATTTAGCCCTGGTTGTATGGTCATGACGGGCTATCGTAAGGAACTCGACAGTTAGGGGTAGCTTCTCGAAGTACTAGGAGGGCATCGGATAGAGGGTATTAGCTAGTATATCAGTTAACTAGAATGTAGGGAAAATTGCGAAAAACACCCCATCATAAGTCACTTCAAGTTTGACATTCCACCCCATAAGTCATTTTGTTGAAAATACCCACCCGCTAATAAGTTTTGTTGCAAAAACCACCCCAATGCCTACGTGTTTAACCGAATCAGTTCGTTATTGCTGATGTAGGGTTACCACATGCTAAGCTAGCCAAGTCAATCTTGTCCAAGTACTTGCATTAGACTTATTTTCTATATTTGATTTTTTTTTTGCATGTAGCGAAACTAAGTGCGACAATGTTTAAGCTCTCGTCAACAATTTTATTTGTGGAATCTCACAAAAAATGTACCAAGAATACTCTAGAAGTATTTAGTTTTGGTAAAGACCATATTGGTGGCTCACATTTTTTAAAAACATGTTGATTTAGTTAAGCATGTGTTTACTGGGGTAGTTTTTGCGACAAAATTGAGTAGGTGGGTGGACATTTGCAACAAAATAATTTATGGGGTGGAATGTCAAACTTCAAGTGACTTATGGGATGATTTTTGCAATTTTTCCTAGAATGTATATATACTATGTATATTAGAAGTATAGGAATATATTTTCTTTCTCTTTTCTTTCCATCTAGCTTAGATGATTTATTATGAGAATGAATAGTACTACTTGTGTGTTACTCTACCCTTGGATTATCTTAACCCCTGCTTAGAATATGATTATCACAAGTAATATATAAATTATAAGCTGAGTTCTCTCTACATGATCTTCTCACGGGATAAAATAAATACGATACCCTTGGAATACTCTCAGGTGAAATGCTATAATGGTATATCCGTGCGCTTGCGGATGAACTCTGTAACCATAATATACCAAAAGTATTTCTGTGCCATTGCTGAGAATTATATTTGTAGTACCGTCGTTAAGAAATACCAACAGGTGTCACCATCGCCGGACCACATGTCGTTGTTGTCGGACCTCGCGCTCGTCGTCGGCGTAGCCACCGCCGGACCGCGCATCGCAGCTACTGGATACCCCATCCCGTAGGTCAGAACCTCACCACAACTGCCGTTGCATAAGGATCGACTCGCGCTGAGATCGTCACCATCGCCGAACCACAGGTCGGACCTTACTACTTGATACAGCGTCCTCTAGGCTGGAACCTCACCACCACCGCAGCCGTAACTGTATCTGCTTGCACGAGAGCAAGC